GGGGGGGGGGGCGGCCGGCGAGGAAGCGCTCGGCGCTGCGCGGCTGGGGCTGGGCAGCGCTGGGGCAAACATGCGGAGCGCGGCCGAGGCGGTGTCTGCACAGCGGAGCGCCGCAGCCAGGTGAGTGCCCGGCCGGGGTCGCGGCGTCGGGGCGCGCGCGCACACACACGCAGCCCCGCACGCACCGCGCGCGGGCTCGGACGCGCACACGAGTCAGACCCGCACACGCACGAAGTCACTCTTGTTCGCTCGCACGCGCGGGCAGTCACGCGGGGGAGGCGCGGGCACACTCACACGCACACCGTCGCACGCGCGCTCAGTCCCTCGCATGTCCTCGCTGGGTCGCCCTCACACTCACACGCTCTCGCGCAAAATCACACACTTCGCACTCAATTTCCCACAGTCACTGTCATGCACACACTCGTGCACACGCACAGGCACACTCTCACACACACACACACACACTCTCTCTCTCTCTGTCTCACGCCCGCATACAGCCTCTTTCCCCAGCCCGCTGCTGTGCTTATTTCTCCGCCTTTCCCTGCCTTCTGCACAACTGCCGAGGCTGCCCTGGCTCAGAAGCGGCGAGGGGAGGGCAGCTTTCCTGTTTACACTGAACTGATCTCTGGCTTTCACACCTCGGTGCACACCCGTCACCCCTCACGAGCACACTTCGACCTAAAAATAGAGGGAAAAATCATGAGAGCTCCTCCGGCCCGCGCGGCGGGCTCGTGTGCCCTCCTAATTACATTTACAACGAATCAAGCCGTCCTTTCCCCCCAAACCTGAGCCGGTTGAATTGTGAGGCTGGCTCTGGGGCAGAGGAGTAGGGTGGGACTTGTGTTCCCCACCAGGCTGCTCTGGCTGCTCCCAAACTGGACAGACTCCAGCAAGGTGGTGCAGCCCCCATTGCATCCTCCTTATTTGGGCACCTCTGCATTAAAAAGGGGGGTTTGGTTTTGTTTTTAATCCCCTCCTGCTTTTCCTATGCCATTTCTTCATCCAATTTATAACGGGGGAGTGAAAGTGATGGATGCAGTTTCTGTGTGGGGGGGTGCAGTGAAATGAATAGTCTGCTTGGCATGGATTTTAGCTTGCCCCCTTGTTCCTAACCTTTCTTCTGACTCTGCCCTGTGCCCCACTTGTAGGGTTGTGGTTTCTGAAGCTGTCTGAAGAGTGCCAGAGACTGGCCCCTCCACGGTGGGGACACAGCCACGGGGTAGGCTGCTGAAGTTTCCCTTGGACTTCACCCTCTGGCGGCTGGCTGGGGAAGTGCTGCTCAGCCTGGGACCATGGGCTCCAACAGCATCTCCCACATGAAAGCCACTGGCAACTTCTCTGTCAGTCCTAACGACTACATAATTCACAAGCATTACAACTACACAGGAAAGCTAAACGACAAAGTGGACAGTGGAATAAAAGTTACCTCAGTGGTTTTTATCATCATTTGCTGCTTTATCATCTTAGAGAACATTTTTGTCCTGCTGACTATCTGGAAAACCAAGAAGTTTCACAGACCCATGTACTATTTCATTGGAAACTTAGCTCTTTCAGACTTGTTGGCTGGAGTGGCATATATTGCCAACCTCTTATTATCCGGACCCAAAACCTACACTTTGTCCCCTCCCCAGTGGTTTCTAAGGGAAGGCAGCATGTTTGTTGCCCTGTCAGCTTCTGTGTTCAGCCTCCTGGCTATTGCCATTGAGAGGTATATCACCATGCTGAAGATGAAACTCCACAATGACAGCAACAGTTTCCGCTCCTTCCTGCTAATCAGTGCCTGCTGGGTTATCTCCGTGATACTAGGGGGTCTCCCTATCATGGGCTGGAACTGCATTGATTGCATGCATAAGTGCTCTACTGTGCTGCCCCTCTATCATAAGCATTATATTCTTTTTTGCACCACCGTTTTAAACGTCCTATTATTGTCCATTGTGGCCCTCTATTGCAGGATCTATTCCATGGTCAGGACTAGGAGCCGCAGCCTAACATTTCGGAAAAACATTGCCAAAGCCAGCAAGAGCTCAGAAAAGTCCCTTGCCTTGCTCAAGACAGTGATCATTGTCCTCAGTGCCTTCATTGTTTGCTGGGCACCCCTGTTCATCCTGCTTTTGCTGGATGTGGGGTGTAAAGTGAAGGCCTGTCCAATCCTTTTCAAAGCGGAGTATTTCCTAGTGCTGGCTGTGCTCAATTCCGGCACCAACCCAATCATCTATACCCTCACCAACAAAGAGATGAGGAGGGCCTTCTTAAAGATCATGCTTTGCTGCAAATGCCCCTCTGCAGACTCCGGGACCAAATTCAAAAGGCCGATTATAGGAGGGATGGAGTTCAGCAGAAGTAAATCTGACAACTCTTCCCACCCACAGAAGGAGGAGGGTGACTGCCCAGAGACGATCGTGTCTTCAGGCAACATCAACTCATCTTCCTAGACATACCCACGGGGGCTGGTTTCAAAGCCTCTGCTTTGAAATCTGACAGGCAAGAAGCCTCTTGCTCATAGTAGCTAGGCAGGGAAGTGGCGTACATGAGCAAGGTAGCATTAGTTCTGAAGAGGCCTATAGTGCACTTGTGTGGCTGGAGTTCAAGAAGTGGGACAGACTGTTCTGGCTTGAAAACATTTCCCCCTGGAGCATGTTTTGTCTTTGCACTGAGGCAGTTCAAAATTGTTGGGAGCATTCAGAGCCTGAAGTCTCCTTAGTAACTCAGAAAGACTGATGCCTTGGTGGAATGATGCCTGTTGTGTGTGCGAGTGGAAAAGGGGAAGGGGGAAGGGGAGAATTGACTTTTTTGTTGTTCTTTGAGAAGAATGTGAAGTTATTTTTTCCTTTCAATTGCAGTGAGCCCCTTACACAAAGCTATTTCTGTACCAAGTTTAGTGGTAGCTCTGGCATCCTTGGTCAGAAGAGTTTCTTTAGCATACGGTAAAGAAAGAAATCCCGCCCATGTAATCTAGATCATGGTCAACCACAGTTTGGCTTCCCTCCAACTGAGTTTTTAAATGTCACAAGCTTTCTTTGGTAGAATCCAAGAGGGTTTATTTTGTTTGTTTTTTTTTACCCGGATCAAATTTTTCTGAAGGTTCTTATTACTGGTTAAGAACACAAACCAGACTTTGCATTTGGCTCCAGCCCTGCAACTCTTGAAAAAATCAACAGACTTTTCTGGAGAATTAGCTCAGAGCAGCATTTGGTCCTACATCTCTTTTGACTTGCTTCTCATGAAATAAGTTGTTACCACAGTTGCAAGAGAGAACTAAAGTTCTTTGCTCTTTTAGATGATTCTCACACTTGCAAAAGTAAGTATAATAGTATTGCATACTGTTGATGTCAGTGGGAATTGTAATCAAGCAAGAATTTCAGGGCTGGTCCACAGTGTTTCCAAAGATAAAGACTGATGATAAAATATGAACAGAAGATCATGGGAATCAGAAAAATTAAAAAATAAATTGTTGTTAGTCCAAGTGAAATTACAA